TCCGCAGAGAAAAGAAAAAACTGCCCCTTTCGCTCCGTCGGCTCTGTTTTCCTCATCCAACTGAAAAACTCACAACTACCAACTCAGCAAGTCTCTCCCTCTCCCTTCTTTCCTCACTCTCCTCTCGATCCGAAACACATCTCACTGACAACTCTGACCCTCGACTCAAAACCCACTCCTTCTTAATAATCTCTCGGCACCTTTCGCAGTCATCCAACTAGCGTGTCAAAAAAAAAAAAAAAACAATGGCTGCCCCTGCAAGTTCGATCGTCAAAAGCGCACAGAACGCCAGCGGTCAGTCACTTCTACCCCCCCTCTCCCCTTTGACCCTTCCACTCAACTGACACTTCCCAAATCATAGAAATCGGCTGGGCATTCGTCCCTCAGTATTATACCTTTGTCAACAAGGACCCCTCTCGTTTACACTGCTTCTACACCAAACGATCCACGTATGTTCCCCTACTCACATCTCGATCTCCACCGATCAACTCACACCACTCGTTTCATCTCTTTCAGTCTAATACACAGCACAGAAGGCGAAGAAGCTACCCCATGTTTTGGTCAACAGGTCCGCTCATCCCCCAGTATCTTTCTAACATCCCACAAAATCATCTCATGCTCATAATCTGTTAATGTTGCCTCCACCTGCAGGAAATTCATGAAAAGTTCATGTCACTGAATTTCGATGACTGCAAGGTGTTCGTATCTAATGTCGACTCGCAGTCCTCCGCTGACGGGGGCATCATCGTCCAGGTGTTGGGCGAGATGTCGAACCAAGCTGGCCCCTGGCGCAAGTTTGCCCAGACTTTTTTTCTGGCAGAACAGCCTAACGGCTTCTTCGTTCTCAACGACATCTTTCGGTGCGTTGAATCATCACTTCTCATTTCCCCTCTCCCATCCTGCTCATCCTTCCTCTGATCGTGGTTTACCATCATTCTCGACCGATCAGTTATATGAAGGAAGATGACGATGATGCGGAGGAGGAGCCCGAGGCTGAACCAGTAACAGTCACCGAAGATGTTGCCCGCTCCGAGACCAGCTTGAATCCTCCTATTGCCGGTGACGCCGCTATGTCCTCTACAAATACTGCGGCTGCCGAATCTTCCAGTAAGCCGGCTGACCCGTCAGGAGTGGCCCCACCGCCTCCCGCACAACCCTCAGTGCGTGCGCCTGAAGCCAAAGCCACACCTGAGCCGGCTCCCTCTCAAGTCAACGGCTTCCATCCCGAGTCCCGTGAAATCAAACCCCATGAGACAAGAACCGAACCGATCAAGGTCGCATCAAAGCCCATCCAAACCGATGTCCCCTCCACAGATGTTGCTGCCAATGTCTCCGTCACCGCTCCCGCCGCATCAGTTACTTCATCTGCTGCTCCCCCCGCGGAAGTACCCAAAGCCAAGCCAGATACCGTGACTTCCTCCGTGCCCTCAACCTTACCTCCCCCGGCCAATGCCAATGGGCGGCCGACAGTCCCCCAACCCAAGCCGGCAGCTGCGCCGGCCGCCGCTTCCCCTAAGCCGGCCGACCCCCCTCAACCTGCTGCCCCCAAAACATGGGCTAGCTTAGCTGCTAGCGGTAAGAGTGCTTGGGGTCAAGGCCATCTCTCTGCATCCCAGGGCGTGTCGTCCGCACCGAGCGCGCCCCCTCAAGCTGCAACAGACTCAACGCCGGCCCAATCCCAAACTCGACAGGCCGGTGGTGCTCCTCAGCATACCAACCCAGGTTTGTCTTTTCTCTTCTATGTGCATGCAGTCTTGCTCGTCCAAGATAAGATTGGGCAACCAAATTAGCTCACCAGATGGTTATCCTCCTTTAGCTTCGATTACCACGGGAGCATGTTTCATCAAGAGCGTCAACGAAAACATTGACGAGAAAACCTTGAAGGACCAACTGGTGAAAAAATTTGGACCGATCAAAGAGCTGGACATTGTACGCAACAAGGCATGCGGGTTCCTTGAGTTCGAACGGATTGAGTCGGCCAAGAAAGCGATCCAGATGTCGATGCCATTCAACATGGGAGGCAAGGGTGGGATCCCTATCATGCTGGCTAGCGGTGAAGAGTACGTGATCAATGTCGAGAGCAAACGGCAGCCCGGCGAGCGGGGTCGTCCCGTGGACGCGGGTCCCAAGCGTGGCTTCAACGATCGTGGGGGACGCCCAGGATCCAGCAACTTTGGCTCGGGCGGAGGACGCGGGCGAGGAGGGATGGATAACGGCCCTCGGGGTTCCGGCCGAGGTGGCGGCAACACGCCCAGGGGTGGTGGGGGCGGCAGAAATCTAACAAACTCGAAATGATTCTCTCCACTTTCTCCTCGATTCTCCTTCCTTCAACGGCTTCCGATCCCCAACATATCTCATGCCCATCCATGCACACACCTTATGCTATCCCATTTTATTTCCTGAATTACATGTTGACCATTGTCGTTAGTTTCTTCAAACAAACCCCCCGAAATCAGTCCCTTCTCCCGCTCCTCCTCTTTACTACCCGCTCGAACTTTTCACGACCACGCATGTACCCAATCTCTTTCGATCTCCCCGGCCGAATAGATGGCACCTAATAACCGTATCATCATCACCCCCAGAAATTACAAAAGCAATACATTGCAAATCTTCCCCCGTTCGAATCACTCACACATCCATATATATATATATACATATATAGACGACATATATACAAACGTATATATGTAAATATCAAAACGGCTTTTTTTACATGTCTTAGTCTGAGAATATATATATTTTGTTCCTTCCATCATTGAGTGTTTTTTTTATAGATCACCCCCCACCCCGACCCACC